TTGAGAAAGAGTCTAGAGATTGTTGAAAACTGGCCACCAGCTGCTCTCAACTCTCACTTTATTGTTTCTCACTGGTGTATTTTGGGTTTTATAGTCACTTTAGATTCACTTTGACCTTCTCATCTTCTGCTTTCATCTTCAAGCTGGTCCTTCCTGAGATAATCATCCGTCTAGTGACCGTCTGTGCAGTTATGAATGTGAGGCTGTAATATTCTCCAGCTGAAGTCATTTTAATCACAGATAGAAGCTGCTGCGTGTTAGATGAACATGATGAATCCTCTGCATCTACTCCAGCATGTTTAGTAATGCAGCGCACCGCCGTGTGTGCGCTTTCTAAATTCATTCAAATGTTTTGTTGTAGCTCATGCTGCTGTCTGATGCTAAAGGCCTTCTGAGCACAGAATCCTGCACGGCGAGACTTCAGAAGGCCGAGGATACATCACAGCTGGTTCCTGAGCCAGAAAACTCTGTTTGTCCTGATTCTTCTTCGCACTGGAATCAGAGAAACTTAATGTGGCCGTTAAAGAATCGAGCGCGGCTGTGATGTATGTTTCCCTTCATCATTTATAGAAGCGATGTCACCATCGTTAGCTGATGCTGAATGACTTCCAGTCGTCCCTGCGGTCGCTCCTCCGCTGAATATCACGACGCTCGCCGCAGTTTAAACTTCATCCGCGTAACCGGCGTGCTGTTGTCCAATAAAATGAATGGACTATTCCGTCTAACAATCCAAACCCTGGCATTAGCATATATCTGCCATTAGCATACATTAGACGGAGTCTCTTTTAATGCAGATTCTGGCAGTAAACCACACAAAATGCAGAAGTTATTACTGCAGTTCTCGCACCTTGAGGCGAGAGCAGTGCGTGGAGAAGAAGCAGTTCAGCGGGGAGTGTTTTAGGAATAATTATGCACGGCTTGAATTATTCAGTTCTAGGAAAGACCTGGAATATGAACTCCTCGCTGTCTCATTTTCTTGGCACAAAGATTTTTGTTAAACTGGATTTTCAGAAGTCTCTAAAGTACTGGAACTGAGTGCATATTTAGATGCATGTAATAAAGTTAGCAAGACGGCACGGAATCTTTGAGGAGCTGCTCTCTCACACACACACACTCACACACACACACACACACTCACACACTCTCTCTCACACACACACACACTCACTCACTCACTCACTCACACACACACACACACTCTCTCTCACACACACACTCACTCACTCACACACACACACACACTCTCTCTCACACACACACTCACTCACTCACACACACACACACACTCTCTCTCACACACACACTCACTCACTCACACACACACACACACTCTCTCTCACACACACACTCACTCACTCACACACACACACACACTCTCTCTCACACACACACTCACTCACTCACACACACACACACACTCTCTCTCACACACACACTCACTCACTCACACACACACACACACTCTCTCTCACACACACACTCACTCACTCACACACACACACACACTCTCTCTCACACACACACTCACTCACTCACACACACACACACACTCTCTCTCACACACACACACACACACTCTCTCACACACACACTCACTCACTCACACACACACACACCCAGAGCTGCAGAGATTCTGTCACTAGTCTGAACACACACATTGTTTGTGTACAAACTCTGACATGACAGGAGTGTAGAAATACAGTCCAGAAGGATTTCAGATATTCAGCTGTCTCTCTCTGTCTCTCTTTCTGTCCCTCTTTCTCTCTCTCTCTCTCTCTCTCTCTCTCTCGCTCTCTCATATACAGCCTTCCAGTTCTGTCAGAGCAATGGAGGGTGAAATGGAGCATCATACACATTTTTTATTCGTTCACCTGGATGTTTTCCAGCAAATACAGCTTTCTGTTTTGTTTTTCTTTCGTTCTTGACTCTAGCAGTGATATTTGAGTTGGTCTGATGTGAATATATATATATATATATACAGGTATATAAAGCTGGATTTAACCGAAGGAATCTGTGTTGTCTTTTATGTTCTGCTGTTTCAGGAGAAACCCACTGAGAGTGTTGTTTGTTGCATCCTCTGCATGCTTTGGTTTAGCATGTGATTCTCTAAATGAATTATGCAAATCAGAAACCAGTACAAAGACACCTAAAAAGTTAGTGCAAAATGCAGTTTGCATGGCGCATTTCCCAAACTCGCAGGCTGAGAAAATCATCATGTGCCTGTGGATGTGGTTTGGATTTTGTGGTTTTATGATGTGAGGAAATGTTGGATTGAGTGCTCCAAAACCAAACACTTAAACAAGAGTTATAGAGTCATTTTCTGACCAGATATAAATATGTTGGCATCAGTGTTGTTTATCTAAAAAGTACAGTTTGAGGGGCTTGTGCACACACACACACACGCACGCGGGTGTCACAGAGAGGCAGTGAGGAGTGTGTCTGAGTGGCTGTGTATTTGTGTCTGATGGACACACACACACACACATGCAGTGCTGGTCTC